ATGGAAAAAGATGATAGAAACTCAAACAGGCAGAAAAATCAAACGTCTCCGTACATACAATAATGAAGAGTACAAAAATGATCCATTTCTGAAAGTCTGTGAAGAGGAAGGTATTGTCAGGCACTTCACTGTCAGAGGTACACCACAACAGAATGGGGTGGCAGAGCGTATGAACCGGACATTAGTGGAGAAGGTTCGGTATATGTTGTCTAATGCTGGGTTAGGCAAAGAATTTTGGGCTGAGGCTTTGGTCTATGCTTGTCACCTTGTCAACCGCTTACCATCGACTGCTATTGGTGGTAAAACACCATTAGAGAAATGGTTTGGAGTATCTGCTACAGATTATGATTCCTTACATGTGTTTGGTTCCACTGCATACTACCATGTTAAGGAGTCAAAGCTGGATCCAAGAGCAAAGAATGCGATCTTTATGGGGATCACCTCTGGTGTGAAAGGCTATCGTCTTTGGTGTCCAGAAACAAAGAAAATAATCTTCAGCAGGGATGTTACCTTTGATGAATCTACCATGTTGAGAAAGGTGACTTCAGAAAAATTGGACCAGACAGATGAAACTCCCAAACAGGTGGAGTTTGAAGGAAGCAAGATTATCCCAACCAGTAAAGAAACTGATGTTGACTCTCCTATGATAGAAGAAGAGTCAGATGAAGAAGAGGTTCAAACCCATGAACCTCCACAGCAACATGAATCAATTGCACTCAGAAAGGGAAAAAGGACCATTAGACAACCTGCTCGTTATGTTGATATGGTCTCTTTTGCATCACCAATTGCAATTGATGACGTTTCTGCCACTTTTAATGAAGTAGTTCAAAGTTCAGAACATAAAAAGGGGAGGATCGCCATGGATGAAGAAATGCAATCCCTTCAAAAGAATCAGACGTGGAAACTAGCTAGTCTTCCGAAGGGAAAGAAGGCAATTGAGTGCAAGTGGGTATATGCAAAGAAAGATGGATTTCCTGACAAGAATAACATCCGCTACAAAGCAAGATTGGTGGCTAAAGGCTACGCTCAAACGGAGGGAGTTGATTATAATGAAGTATTTTCTCCAGTTGTAAAACATTCCTCCATCAGAATTTTGTTGGCTTTGGTAGCGCAGTTGTATTTGGAACTAGTTCAGACGGATGTAAAAACTGCATTTTTACATGGAGACTTGGATGAGTAAATCTACATGACTCAGCCAAATGGATTCAAAGTTGCTGAAAAAGAAGAGATGGTGTGCAAATTAGAAAAATCGTTGTACGGATTGAAGCAATCTCCAAGGCAGTGGTACAAGCGATTTGACAAGTTTATGATAGGGCAGAAGTACACAAGAAGCAAATATGATCATTGTGTGTATTTACGCAAGCTAGAAGACGGATCCTATATATATCTTCTTCTTTATGTTGATTATATGTTGATAGCTTCCAGGAGTCAGACAGAAATTGCGAAACTAAAGACTCAATTGAACATGGAGTTTGAGATGAAGGATCTTGGTGAAGCGAAGAAGATTCTAGGCATGGAGATATCAAGGGATAAGAAATTGGGGAGGCTTTGTTTGTCTCAGAAAGAATATCTTAGGAAGGTACTAAAACGTTTTGGCATAAATGAGATGTCAAAACCAGTTAGTACACCCCTTGCTCCTCATTTCAAGCTCGGTGCATCAATGTCACCTAAGGATGATGCAGAACGAGAATACATGTCAAAGGTTCCGTATGCAAGTGCTGTTGGTAGCTTGATGTATGCAATGGTGTGTACGAGACCCGATATTTCACATGTAGTTGGGGTTGTGAGCAGGTATATGCATGATCCTGGAAAGGAGCATTGGCAAGCTGTGAAATGGATTCTGCGGTATATTCTGAACACCGTAGATGTTGGTTTGGTCTTTCAGCAGGACAAACAAGACGGTCAGTGTATAGTTGGCTATTGTGATTCAGACTATGCAGGTGATTTGGACAAGCGTTGATCAACTACTGGTTATGTGTTTACATTTCTAAAGGCACCAGTCAGTTGGAAGTCCACCTTACAGTCAACAGTGGCTTTGTCTACTACAGAGGCAGAGTATATGGCAGTTACAGAGGCTGTGAAGGAGGCAATTTGGCTTCAAGGGTTGCTTGGTGAATTGGGAATGGAACAAAAGCACATCAAAGTGCACTGTGACAGTCAGAGTGCTATTCATTTAGCAAAGAACCAGGTTTACCATGCAAGGACGAAGCACATCGATGTTCGATATCACTTTGTACGAGAGATTCTAGAAGAAGGTAGATTCATAATCCAGAAGATTCGGACCACTGAGAATCCTGCTGATATGTTGACAAAAGTGGTAACTGCGGTCAAGTTTAAACATTGTTTAGACTTGGTCAATATTGTTACAAATTAAAAGATTGTTTTTTTAGAGATGTGTGTGGAATTTGCCAAGGTGGAGATTTGTTGGTTTTTGGCAAAGTCCCACATTGGTTGTGTATAAGGAGGAGGGGAAATTCTTTTGTTATAAATAAAGCCAATCATCCCACAAATATAAGCATTCTTCTATATTAAAGGCTATTTGTATTCTTTCTCTCTTTGTAATATTTCCTCTATTAGTGAGATATTTTGGTGTTCTCTTTTATGTCTATTTAATAGCTATTGTCGGGTATAGTTGTTGTTAATTATTGTCCTATTAAAATTACTTGTCTTGGTAGTTATGTCTAAGGAAAGTGGGTTTTAAGAGGGACCATTGTGACCCCTCCTCTTTCCTGGGAATATACCTTGGGGTGATTTTTAGTACAATCGTTTTCACACTAGCCACCTAGATAATAATTTCGAAGGTGAATCTGTTATTGGTGAAAATTAACCCGAATTCCACAACAGAATATTTAATAAAAGTTGTGGTATTGGTGTTACCTTTCAAATAAAAGTCACTGGTTAGGCGCTTTTGAGGTTGCTTAGGCGTATGATTTATTGTTTTCTTCACTCTTCTTATTCTCTTTTAAGCTATTCAAATCTATGGTTGCAAAACGATACTAATTCATTGAATCTATGGTTACATCTTCAAGGCTAGCAATAGTCTCCTGGAGAACGTCCGTCACTTTATTCCTTTCTCGGATCACATGCCGTAAACATACTTTCCATTCATACCTTAACATCATTAGTATTGAATTCACTAACACATAAGCTCTGCAGGAGCTGGTCTGTCCATTCAATATGATTGTAAACTCTCAATTATCCGTCTCGAATTCAATTCTTCTGAAGTTATCTGATTAGTGTTTTGTATTGATTGTTTCTGTTTATAGTGACACGCATAATATATACCTTTGTAATCAATAATCCAAAGAGAAAAATGGATTTTGTACTGCAAGCATCTATAAAAGATGGGATATAGCATCCTCAAAGCTTCTTGGTTTGTAGCTTCAATCTCTGGATTATCTGGCGTTGACAAAATTTAGTTGGTTTTCACTCTTAAGCTTTGGCCTCTAATGCATGGCTTTACTTCCTTTCCACTCTCGTCTTTCAACTTAGCTCTATGCAAAGATACAATGAGAACTGCTGAGCTAAGCGGCTTGCTCGTCCACACGTCCTTTACATTTCATATTTTAGGCAGGTTGAATTAAATTAGGCCATTACCATATATATTTTGATGAGTTATTATTTCAATTGAAATTTTATTGAAAAAATATTATTAAATATTCCTAAAAAATTATTATTAAATAATTTTTTTATATCTTATTTATTGACCAACTAATTTAGATTAGATATTGTATAGATTCATTATTAGAACGATCATCCTTTGCTATATTCCTAACGTCATAATTCAAAATTTTAATCTTATTTAAGGAATCTAACATCGCATCCCGTTAAACTAATTGATTGCCGGTTTACCATCAAATAAACCTTTAAAACTTGATTATAAAATTTTCTAAAAATGGTTCAACTATGACCCTTTTTTATTTGTTTTAGTTTCAAGAGTTTGTTAGATCATAAATTTTTGTATAAGAGTTCAATCGAGATAATATTTCCCTTAAAAATTCATTTAATTTGAAAGAAATTAATTTATATAAGTCTAATTTGTATAAAACTTTTCAACTATATTCGATCTCAGAAGAATAAAAACAATTTTTGAGTCTATATCGATTAATTTATACATAAATTTAATTATGATGTTAACAAGAATGATATTAAACTTATCCAAATTTACAAAATTTTAAAAATAATAATTTGGTTTGAAGTTTTCAACCCCTGTTAAAACCAACAGTTGAAGCAGTAAAAGTTAATAATTTGTCTTTAATCCTTTGTTTTGAAGTCCCATAGGCATACGTGGTTAATTTTTATTTATGAAAAGACTTAATCAATGGTGGGTGAAATTCATCTTACACTATTTGCGTTAGTTTAATTTAAATTTGATTACGGACAAATCAATGAAGAATCTGGGACCTCATCAGTGTCGCAACCTTAAAGCCAAAAGCTAACAAACAATTCAATTTATGCACCACAAAATGGTGGTTTAGATTAAAATTTATGATAAGAGTATATTATTTTATTCTAATTTTCTATTTAATTAATAGGATATTTTAAAATAACATATCTCTCATAAATGATCTGAATCGGAATAATATTGTTTGTAAAATATATATAAGTTTATCGGAAACTAAATACATAATAAATATTATCATAAAAGCACATAAAAATACTTTAAAATTTTAGATGAAAGTTGATTATATTTATTCTATTTAAATTTACATGAATTATATTTTAGAAACGGACCCTAATCCAATCCTACTCTAGTATAAGTCAACTTATTTGAATCCTATAATTTCTTGTAATTTACAAATAACAAAATATATTTCATGGAAGTCAATTGTGACAAACATTTCCTATATTTGTATTCTTTTTTATGGAACGATTAACATGATTCCAAGAGCCACCCCTCCCATTTCATTCTCACCTGCTCCGCCTCAAACCATGATTCTCCAATAAGTCATCTCCTGCAATCTTCAACAACTTCTAACAAAACTGCACAAGTTCTTTCCATGGCCGAAACGAGTAGCAATCCGAAGCCTGATCAGATGACCTTGTCACTTACACTGTCGCAGGGTTTAACCCCACGCGAGGCCAAGCCCGAAGAAAGAGGCATCCGCCTTATTCAATTGCTCTTAAAATGTGCCAAGCATGCTTCCTCTGGCAACTTACACCGTGCCGATGAGTGTCTCCGGCAGATAACGCTGCTTGCCTCCGTGTCCGGTGACTCCATGCAACGTCTCTCAGCATGGTTCGCCTCTGCTCTTGCCGTGCGCCTTGTTAAGCGTTGGCCTGGCCTACATAAGTCCTTGAACTACTCTCAATTGCAGAAACAAGAACAGTTCGATCAAGCTCGACTGCATGTTGGGCGAGCGTTTCCCTACCTCGCGTTATCTTATGCCATCATATCTCGGACACTCGTCAAGGCCATGACGAGTGAGCGAGTCATCCATCTTGTCGACCTAGGTTCCGGTGATCTGAACTTGTGGATTCCGCTGATTCGGAGCTTTTCGTGTTTGCACACCGAACCGCCTCTTTTGAAGATCACTTGCATGAATGCTAACAGGGTAAGATTGGAGAATTTAGGCACAAGGCTAGTGAAAGAGGCTGAAACACTCAACATTCCATTCCAATTTAGCTCTCTAAATGTTAGTTTAAGAGAGCTAACATTAGACAAACTTAAGGTAACGTCAGGGGAAGCCTTAGCTTTCATTTCAATCTTAAATCTCCATACTTTATTAGCCGAAGATGATAGTGTAGATGCACATTTCAGCCACAACAACAAGACTAATGGCATCAAAGATTCGAAGCAAATGTCTCAATTTTTATCGACGATCCGATCATCGTCGCCTAAACTTTTGTTCTTAGTCGAAAAAGAAGCTGACCATAATCTAAACAAATTAATTGATCGGTTCGTTGAGGGATTGCATTATTACAGTGCGGTGTTCGATTCGGTCGATGCTACACTCAGGGCCAATGCCTCGAGTGGGGAAAGACTTGTTTTGGAGGAAATGTTTGGGAAAGAAATTGAAAACATTGTGGCATGTGAAGGGGTTGAACGAGTAGAGAGACATGAGAGGTATGGGAGATGGATGGTTCGGTTTGGGCAAGCCGGGTTCAAGCCGGTCCGGATGTGGCATGACTCGATGGAAGATGCCAAGGAAATGATGGAAGCATGTGGTAGAAATGGTTACAATATTGTTAATGAAAAGGCAAGTTTGATGATTTGTTGGCATGATAGACCATTATATGCAGTGTCTGCATGGACTTGTTAGAGGGGTACATAATTTTTTTGTTATTAAATAGTTTGATGTGATTATAATATAATATTTTAATCTATGAAGCGTTTTTAGTAGTTAAAAGGAATATAATTAATAGAAAATAAAATACTTTAACATCTGTCCAAGAGAAAGTTGCTTGGCTTCAAAATTTTGTAATTTACAAACTTTCATATGCTAAATTGCAAAAATCAAAGATTCCAAAAAGTTAGGCAGTAACGTTATTATAAACATTTGTTATTCGTAAATATTTATTATGACTAGAACTTTATTTATTATATACATTTTTATACATTCTATAATATAATTTTTATATCTATTAAGATTAAAATTTTATATGATATATATATTTTTAATCTATAAGCATAAAGTTTTTTTTTGAAATAAAATAAATTTTCGTTAAAAATGTCTCTTAACTCAATTAAATTAAGACTCAATCGTAAGGAAAAAAAAAAGAGTATCCATAACTTTTATTAACGTACCAACAAATCGCAGCAAAAAATACTATTATTCGATACATAATTAGCATCATAAAACAACCCAAACACACGCCAAAAACAGTGCTTACAGAGCACTAACCGATCTTATAACACAACCAAAGTCAACACCTGCAAAACACACACAATACATCTAGGACTTATCCAATTTTAGTCACAGTAGAATCACTGATTCTGAAAGGCACTATAAATGCTCTTGAGCTGAATTATCCAGCTGCTACTTGTCATCTTCAACCAATGAAGCTCTTGTTGCCAAGAAGCTTAGTGCCATTCTTTTCACCATCTTCGGCGGCATTAACTGAGCAAATCTCCAACCCCTCGTAATCACAGTGGAGAGCCCATGTTTGAGCAAGAGCAACCATCATTTATAAAGGATACAGAAACTCATTATCAAGAAACGGGGATCTTCCTTTCACTAAAACCGTCACCTGCAAGCAAAATCATAACTACCAGACCACCAAATCCAATCAGTAAAATAATTATCTCACATTCGGTCATTATTTTTAAGCACCCCTTCTTTCGCTAATTAGTGATTACAAATTATAGGGAAATAACGAATAATCCATTTATTCAAATGAATGGCCTGCGAGATTTCAGAAATTTTATCAGCGTAAATTACCAGAGTTTTAGAGGGATCGACGATCCAGTTTGTTGCAACTTGACTGTCACTCTCAATTATTAATCTGAAACACGTCTTCCATTGGGATGACAAAAAAGCTGTGGTAGCTTGCTTAATTGCACAGATTTCGGCTAGAATAGGTAGACCTGGGCCGATCGACTTAGAGGGAAAACAAAAGCAAGGTCGAACCATTTCCATCCTTTAACACCCACCCCTTTGATTCCACCAGCACTGCCATCGCTTTTCATAGCCTCATCAACATCAAATTTCAAAAAGCCAGTATGAGGAGCCAACCACTAGGTAGAAAGTGGCCTCTTCACCTTGATATTAGATAACATCCAGGCATAAAAAGGGTCTCGAACCAAATCCTCGAAAGGAGTAGTAGCATAGGGGACCTTGGCCTTGAACCACCAAGTCAATCTAGTCTTAATAAAAAAATTCAATTCCAAGGGGTCATATTCCCCCCCCCCCCCAATAAAGATCACATCATTTCGACAAAGTCAAATCGATCATAATACTACAAACGAAATCACGTTCTCAACAAAGCTTCATGCCATGAGCTCATGAATAACTTGGGATCAGTTGGAACCACGAGAGAAATGCTCCATAAAGATGGACCATTGTTTCTGGATTAGAATTACAAAGAGGGCATGAAATGTTTTCATCTAACCCAAAACATCTTTTCGCTAATTCAGTATATATTTATTTTCTCTACTTTCCTAATTATATAATTTTTCATTATACAAATAACAATTATTTATTAATTTCACTCATGTATACGTAAAACTAGCTTATTTTTAGTATTGTTTTTGAAAAAAACTATTAGTTATTTTAAATCATTTAAAATAAATGATAATATTGTCAATCAACTATAATGATGTATAATATATAAATAAATTTAAAATTAAAATTAAAAAATTTTTAATTAAAAAAATGTGTTTTTTCCTATTTGTATTAATCATCTATTTTAATTCATCTGATTTTACAATAATATAATACTGCCTCTATATATAAATTATAAGAAAATTCTTTGAAAAAATAATGAGTTTGGTTTGCCTTGGGCCTATGGCCCTTGGGGATTGAGGTGAGGAGGAGTCTTCCCTTCGGCTTGTACATCAAACCTCCCGTTATTTTACGGAAACGCTGCCGTTTTATTTATTTATTTTTATGGAATTCTTAAATTCCAAACACATCTTCAATCTTCACTCTTCAGCGGAATAAGGACGACGCAGAGCCAACGCCTCTGCTGTGAATGGGTCTTTAGCATTTCTTAAGGTCAGAGCAAAGATAATTATTTGTTTTGAAAACTATTTAATGTTTAATTTTAAAATTAATTTCATTTTTTTATTAAGTGCATTGCTATTAATTTCGTTTCACAGATCTTCTCTTCTTTGATTTCTTGTTCGTTCTCCGCAACTGTATCAAGGCTGAACACCCTGTAAGTCCGTAACTCTCCACGGTGTAATATTTTTCTTCTCATTTCCCTGTGTGTTATTTTATTATTTTTAATGAAAAAGCTTGGATTTCTTGAGCAACTCACGGAAAATTAGCATTTTTTATTAGTTTCTTAAAGATTTGTTTGTCTATGCAAGACGAAAATTTTAGGTTATCGATAATGATCTTAAAAGGGTTGTTTTTTTATTAATATATGAGCAAACAGGAAATGGGTTTTGCCGTTTTTGTCTTATTTATGATAATTAGGGAATAGAAGAGAAATCGGTTGTTAGAGAATCATTTCCGTGGATCTCTTGCAAAATAACAAATCTTATAACGATTCAGTTCTTAGTATACAGTTCTTCGCTAGCTGCAATTAAAAGGAAGAAAATTAAAAATAATTTTTTTCATTGGAAAAGCTTGGGTATGAAGCACATGTATATGTATAGAACTTGAGTATCTTAATGAAGATGTTCGTATCTACAGATTGAATAAGGTGTTATGCCATGAACTTATATGAAACTGTGATTAGTGGCATTAATTTGTAGAAACAGTTTGTATAATACTTGGGGAAAACTATTTAGATATCATCAAACTTTAAGCGATAGTTCGTTTATATCATCAAACTTTCAATTTTGTCAATTTTAGCACCCGTGTTTAGTTTTACTTTCAATTATGTCATTCAACAGTTAATGACTTAACAGGACGATGACATGCCAGCTGTGTGCCATGGTTGCCTCACTAAAACGATGTCGCTTTGATTCCCAAAATGTCCAAAACGATGTCGTTTTGCTTAAGAAAAATTGTTAAAACAATGTGTTTGAAGGGATTCAAACTTCATACCTTTAGAAACAAAGGTTATCCTAGGGACTAAACTCAAATTTTCCAATTATATTTTTCTCTCTTCTTCCTCCTCATCTTCATCTGCATGCCCATATGTGATTCATTCACGAACCCTAATTCCATCAATTCAGTTTGGGCCTCAAAATACACTTCCCCCTTTTTATCTCTTCACGTCTGTAATATACCTTTTTGTAATTAAATAAAACGCTGCTGTTTTATGGGGTTAGGGGCAAGGATTTTATGATCTTTTTGTATTGAGGGTAAAACCCAAATGGGTGAGGATGTGGACAGATCAGAATTATAGAATGAAAATGTTTTCTCTCTTCAGTCGTTTCTTATATTTCTTCTAAGCTTTTCCTACTGCTTAGCTTAATTTCTGCTGCCTTTCTTACCTTGATCTATTCTTCTTCCATTTCTTTTAGTTTTCTGTTTGTACCTGTTACAGCATCCAACTCTCTCATCCTTCGATCCTTCGACCTCCATTATTCAATCCATCTTCCCCTCCTAATTAACTGAGGTATCTCCATTCTTCTCATTCCCCTCTTTCATTTCTGCCTTTTCCTTCATTCTTTTTTTAATTTTTTTTTTTGATTTCAGTAATTCCTTTTAGGAATTTTTTGTGATTGATCACGTCAGTGGATCCTTCTCTATGTATATTCAAAATTTCTATCGAATCTACATTGTTCGGTCGAAAGAGTTGTGATTTTCTTCCGCTTTTAGGGTTGTTTTGGTGATTTTGTGATTGAATTGGTGTCTTCAAATGCTTGTTCTTTGATTAAGGAAAATAGACTCTGTTGAAATATGCTGTTTAGATGTATGCGTTATTATTCAGGGAAATAGAATACAAAATTTTCCATCTTTTCTTTTAACCTGAAATTCAGGCTTTTCATAAATATTTTTGAAAAGTTGGAGGCGTTTGTCATAGTATATTTTCTTCCGCTTTTAGTTTTGTTTTGGTGATTTTGCGATTGAATTGGCTTCTTCGAATGCTTGTTCTATGATTAAGGAAAATAGACTCTGTTGAAATATGCTGTCTAGATGTATGCGTTATTATTCAGGGAAATAGAATGCAAAATTTTCCTTCTTTTCTTTTAACCTGAAAATCAGGCTTTTCGTAAATATTTTTCAAAAGCTGGAGGCGTTTGTCATAGTATATTTTCTTGTAAATTTGGTTGCAGCAAAGAATTGGTTTCTCTGTGATTAAAATCCAAAAACACGGGGTGTTAGTCTGCAACTTATCTATGTGAAGTAGTTTTCCCTAATACTTTTTAGCTTTTTGCCGCATAAGAGTCTAAGAGAATACATGTGATTGAAAATAGCACTACATATTATGGGTGATAAAGTTAAATTCAATCCAATTTCTAGGTTTAAGAGGAGTTGACATTCAAATATTTTTTGTGTTATAAATTCCTATGTTGCCAGAAAGGGAGATTATTTTCCCCCTTCAAAATTTATATTATATGTTGTTATTTATGCCTCCTCCTAGCTTGAGCCAGATGTCACTAGTCATCCGGGATTGCAATTCAATGATAGAAATGGTTACTCTCAAATGCATCCCTTTCATCTGTAATATATATTTCCTTCTTCACGGTTTGTCACTTTTCTGAGATTTTATTTTTTGCTCTAGTTTTCTCTGATCTCTTGCAAGATAGCTCTGCTGTTTACCATAAAAAGTACACTGTTTTGGATTCTATAATAATAAAAAGAAGGGAAGAAAAACCAATGGAAGAGCCCCATTCAATGAACAGTCCAAGGACAATCCTTAGTTTTTCAAAAAGAGGAAGAACAACGACAGCCTCTGTCTCATTCGTTGATCCAAATGATGAAAAATCAAATTCCGTGGAACATGGTCCAAAACCTTCTGAAGTTTATGGATTTGTTGGTTCCATTACGACTGTTGTTGCTACAGGTCCTAATCTCTTACTTCCCGCTTTTTTTATTTATAATTTTATGTTTTTTTTGCATGTTATTACTTTGTTGTTTCAGATTTTATGTTTATTTCAGGTTCTGTTTAGTTGTGGTTTTTTAAACTGGTATTTGTTTCTGGCAATATAAATCAAGTGCCGTACGGGTTTTATTACTTTATTTTTTGCTCAAATCAACCAAACTGGAAGTATATTGTCAAGTTTCAACGAAATTGAAGTCCAATGGCTAAGTTTCACTTTCACCATTGCAGAATTTCCAATTTCACCTTCATGCCAGTACTAAAATATGAATATTGAGTGTTAATATTTGTGTCAGAACTGATAGGTCTGGTTTTCTCCTGTTGTGATGATTCAGTTTTGTTTTTCCAGTTGATACTTTGAGTTTGCTTGGATGTTCTTGTATGCCTGTGATATTTTAGGAATTATTCAAATTTTGTATGTTCACGTTCATGCACTTTTTGTGATATTTCTGTGTTGTTTTTCCATTGCTCTTTGTACACCTTGGTCCACATTATCATTTAAAACTAGATATTTTGAAGCAATGTACTGAGGGATTTGTTTAAAGACCTAAACTGTCTCTGAAATTTATCTAACTTGTTTTTGCGCAGCTATTTATTTAGCATGGGCATATATTCCTGAACCTTGGTTACATTCAATCGGGATCTTCTATTATCCTAGCAGGTCAGCAATATTTTCGGTGCTTGCTAAATTTAGGTCTCACACACTTCTCTGTCTCTGAAAAATGGATAAAATAATGTGGGACAAAGTGGCTTGCTTGAATGGTAGTGTTTGAGGGATGATCGGAGGTCTAATATTACATTGATAGTATGTTGAAGCTTAGATCTTAGAATTTTATGACAAGGAAAACAGAAAGGTAGGTTGTAGGAAGCAATAGCAAATCTTTGCTCGATTGACATAAGCAACAAAAAAAAAAAAAAGGAGAGAGAGAGAGAGAGAAAATGCATTTTTGGAAAGCAGGCAGTCACACACATAGGGTGTGCTTCCTTGAGTGGAAAGTGATAGGACAAATGAGGAGAATGAAAAAGCAGAAAGAACATGAATTGGAAGTGTCCTTGGTAGAAAAGGAAAGTGAGATGAAAAACAATACGAAAGAAAGTTACTTCTTTCAATTTTTCAGGTATTGGGCTTTGGCAGTTCCAACTTATGCTATGGTGATAATAGTTCTAGCTGTCACATTTTATATCGGCCTCAACTTCATGTCAACCCCTCCACCAACTTCATTAACCACAATGTTTGGTAAGTTCTAGCTTGCTTTTCTATTGATGTGTTCATGGATTTTGCATCCCTACTAAAAGTGTGTATAAAGATACCATAATATTCTGTAGTCAAAATGGTTTATCACACAAATCTGTTTCGATCTGTTATATAGAAAGAGAGAGAGAAAGTTAAGATCCATTTACACAGTTAAAAGTTCTACACTTTTTTGGATAGATTAACTGATTTTAGTGACTGAGATTAAAGCTTTAAATTTTGATGATAATTCACTTTTTTTTTTGTTTTGTAAAAAACTCCTCGTTTGCTACTATTAATCTCAGTCTTTCATTTTCACCATCCAACAATTCAGAAAACTTATTGTCAATGGATCCTACCTCGTATATATTGCAATTGCATGATTGGAATTTATACCCTATTTTACATTTCTTTGTAGATGAGTTTAGCAGAGAACCTTCGAGCTTTTTGTCTCATATGGAGGGAGATGAGCAGCCAATTGAACCCATATCCGATCTTGGGATCGACAAGATTAATGTTCTCATGTTCGATGATACTAAATGACACGTCCACTCTAGTCGTTCATCGATACTGCCTCTCCATTATTGGGTCTGGAAAGCATCCACGCTTCTCTTTAAACCGGATTAGCTGGCAAGTTTTGAAGAATTTGTCATGCAATTTCTTATTGTTTGAGGCAAAAAAGGTTTGTATTAGGGTTTAGGAGATGTATTTATGAGATGAATCAATTTACCTTCACTCTGTGACATAAGATTGAGGAGTTTTTAGATTAATTCGAAGATGCATTATTCATTGTAATCGTATGATTTCGTAAATGGTCGCATTTCAAATAACGTATTGGATGATGGTTTCATTCCATGCAATGCAATGACTAACTGCGATAAAAGTAGCATAATATTTTGACATTTAAGTGATCCAGGGAAGATATTTTGATGTTTCAGTCATTGAAGGGATTCTGATGAAGCTTTAATTAAAGTTTTCATTTTTCAGAAGATTTTCAATATAAAGAAATCGTTTCATCTCTACTAATTTTAATTCAATTGATAATATTTGCGAAAATAAATAGAAACATAAAATTAAAAGTTTAAATAAGAATAATGATTACTTAAAAAAATTACGTAATGCACTTTAAAAACATTTTTTTCTTCATTGACAAAATAAAATAATTAAAAAAAGGAAACTAGAAATAGGGTTTCCGCATTCAAAGCACACATGTCGAGAGGGATTTTTTTCTCCATGAAGTTGCCGCTTTCACGACCTCTTAACAACAAAAAACAATTTTAAAGTTCAAACTTCAAACCCCCAACGGATGTTACCAAAACCAAAGTGGGAAAAATAAGAAGAAAAGCTGAAAGCTTTTATCTGTTACCTCAAAAACTACTTGAAGATTGGCCAAAAAACAAGAAGGGAAGGGAACCCAGAATTTGTTATTGCATGTAAAAGGAGAAACAATGTCAATGGATCTCAATGATTACACTATCATCAAAGAGGGAGAAGCTGAGATTCTTATGCATGCTAAAAATGAAGTTTTTTACAACAAAACCCAGGTACCAATTTTGCTTTTTTTTTTTTTTAATATTGAATTAATCTGTTAGAATTTTAATTGTTTTTTTTTTATTTTAGTGGGTGGGTAGCTTTCGGTTGAACTGTTGGGAAATTAAAATTTGATTGAATTCATAGTTAATTTTTACTTAGTTGAAGGCTTTTGGTTTGATTACAAGGTTTTACATTGAGTAGCTTTCGTTTTAGTGAGTTAAGCTATATCTCTACGGACTCACTCTTTCGTGAATATTGTAAAGTAATGTCACAGTGATTGGCTACTCAGAAATGGCAGGAAAGGAGAGCAAGTAAAAATTTCTCTTTTCAATGCGTACTACATTTCTGAATGCTTTGAGCGGGATATTGTTTCCTCTGCAGTATATTGTAGTGTTAGTTGTTTGTTTGGTTCTTCTTCACTATTATGGATCCTAATTATTTACTATGATAATAATAATTAGGTTAACAACAGAGACATGTCCACTGCTGTCCTGAGGACATTCATATTGAGACGGAAGCAGGAACATGAGGCATTGTTATCTAAAAGAAACAAATCAGCAGCAAATGTGCCAGAGAAGAATGCTTTGATATCTGACATAGACAATAAAACTAATGGTTCTGATATGAATACCAAAAAATCAAATGAAGAATGTGAAGAGCCTGGAGAAAAACCTGAAGAAGAACCTTGTACCACATCAGAAGAACCAGTTAAGAAAGAGGGAAAAGTTCAAGGGGAGGTCAAACCACCAAGAGTTCTAGAGGTTTTTTCCAAAATCCTCTTTTTTCTCTGTTGTAAATTTCTATGCTTTTCCCTCCCAATGCTAGCCATGTCATTTTCTGAGTTACTTTTAAGGTGATTTTATAGGCCTTGTCAGCTTCCGGGTTAAGGGCTCTGAGATATGCTCGGGAAGTAGAAGGGATTGGTCAAGCCTTAGAAAATGATGAAGGTATTATAGATGTATTGATGTTCTGGATGGTATATTTATATTATTTGAAGGATTGAGGGAGGACCTATAGTTTCTCCATTTCTGGTTCCGATGCATGTCCATGCCATTACTGTGTCTCTTCTTGCAGGGGCAGTTGAAGCTTGCCAGAGAAATATAAAGTTCAGTGGTTCTGTAGCATGTTCAAAAGTGGAGTCGCATCTCGCTGATGCTCGTGTGTACATGCTTACCAACCCAAAAGAATTTGATGTGGTTTGACATCTGATATTTTATCTTTCAAAGTAACAACTTTATATGAAAATTTTGGCTCGCTGCAAAAGCATTTCATCTGATATGAATATGCAGTTGAAGCTTTAGGTTGAACTCTGTGGAAAATCTTCAATGTAAATCGTTCATATCATGCATTCATTTTATGTCAAAACCACTTTATATGTCTGATATTTTATCTTTTAAATTAACAGCTTTACATGAAAATTTTTACTCGCTGCAAAAGAATTTCATCTGATATGAATATGCAGTTGAAGCTTTAGATTGAACTCTGTGGAAAATCTTCAATATAAATGGTTCATATAATCATATTATGCAATCATTTTATGTCAAAACCACTTTATACATAGCAAAAGAAAGTTTATTAATCAGTTTAGGTTGTTTTTGTTATTCACAATTCATGATTTTTTTTTATAACAATTCACAATTCATGATTAATAGGTAACTTTTGTTGTTTTAGGGTGGAACTATTCAAAGGCAAGACATGCTTATATTCTTTATTCCCAAATTTTGTGTTTCAGGTTGATCTTGACCCTTATGGTTCTCCTTCTGTGTTCCTGGACTCTGCAGTTCAATCTGTTGCCGATGGTGGCATGTTGATGTGCACTGCAACTGATATGGCAGTTCTATGTGGGGCTAACGGGGAGGTCTGTTATTCCAAGTAAGATTTACTACTTCTACCTTATTTTGACTGATTTTGAATACTTAAGCTCATCTTATAACTGCACATTGGAACAGATATGGATCTTATCCATTGACAGGGAAATACTGCCACGGCTTTGAGGATACTGCTAGCCAGCATTGAGGTAGTTTCACGTCCTTCAGAAAACATGTTCTTTAAGCAATTAAGACACATTATTTAGTAAAGGACTCCTTTATTCTTTCACTTGCAGAACTTCTAATTGGTAAAGGACATTAGAAAACATAAATGTAATCATCGCCTTGTCTTAGAACTGCATTCTTTTAGAATTGAATTCCAATAAATTCTTTTTATTTGTCATAATTGGTACATCTTTCTTGAATACAGAGTCATGCAAACCGCTACAAACGATATATTGTTCCTGTACTCTGTCCAGATGGACTTTTATGTCCGTGTCTTTGTTCGCATATACACGTACGTGGCCTGTTTTATTTTAGTTTATTAAAGTAGAAGCTACTCTAACATAATGATGATGGAACGTCAATTAACTTGGTGCAGTTCAGCAAGTGCGATGAAGAATACTCCCCTGAAGCTATCATATGTCTATCAGTGCATCGGTTGTGATTCTTTTCATCTGCAGCCTATCGGGAGAACTGTTTCTAAGGTGTGCTTTCTTATTTATAATGCCATTGGTGCTTCTTATTTGTTATCATGATGCACATCTGAACTCCTTAAAAGAACTTTCCTTTGTCTGCCCATTCAATTGCTTAGTGTTGACATCGGAGACACGTTCATGCAACTAGTAGGTTCTATAGAGTTCTGATGATTGTAGAACTTTCCGTATGTTATCTGACAACATACTTCTCGCTGTTTTATGTGTGCTATGTTTCATCAAAGATTATTTTTCTTGGTGTAGCATAATTTTGAATTTCATGATATTTTGATATTACGTCGACCTTTGTATTTCTAGAATACCAGTGTGAGGTATCTCCCAGGTTTTGCACCTGTTGTCCCTCAAGAGTGTAGCCACTGTGAGAAGAAATTTAACATGGGTGGGCATATATGGTCTGCTCCAATCCATGATCAAGAGTGGGTAATGAACATACTAGCAGATGTAAAATAAATGAAGGATCGTTATCCTGCCTATGATCGCATCTCTGCTGTTTTGACTACCATTTCAGAGGTATGAATTTTTTTACCGTCAGCTGTTATTTCAATAACTTGTAGCCATCCCATTTTCTACTGGGATAATAAATTGTTGAATCAAATTTCAATATAACTGTTTTCACTCAAATATTTCGAACATGGAAATGTCAGCTTCAATCTTTCAGATGAACATCCAGTACACGGTTTTAGATATCTATTTATGTATGTTACCTGATTTGAATTTCTTTGCAGGAATTGCCCGATGTGCCTCTCTTTTTGAGTCTGCACAACCTTTGTGCTACACTAAAATGCACTTCCCCATACGCAGTAATTTTCCTCTCAGCTGTGATCAATGCAGGATATCAAATTTCTGGAACCCATGTGAATCCATTAGGACTAAAATCGGATGCTCCTATGGATGTCATTTGAGACATAATGCGCTGCTGGGTAAGGGGAATCTTTCTTTTGTTTCTATACTTCATTTTGTGTTAACGTGCACACGGAATAAAGTTAAAACAAGTAACCTTGATTACTCATTGGGATTTCAAACCCAACTCCAGTGCATTAATTTGGTCGAGACGTGTAATGGAATGGTGTTTCATAAGTTTTTGTTTTTTCTTTAGGTTAAAAACCATCCGGTTAAAGCCCAACCAGCTGATCAGTCCAGAAGTGTAATACTTGCCAAAGAACCAGTTCTTCAAGTATGTTTCCTATGTTGCATTCTTTAATTGCTTACTAATACCCCCGCCATCCCTGGTCTTCCGATCCTTGTTTCATGTAACGCATGTGAACAGATGCATTCTCAGACATAAGTTCAGATTGAAGGTGGCAAAAGTTCTTTTTAACACCCGCAACCCTTTTCCTTTTGACAGGCAAATTTCGCTCGAGCTGTTGCATCCCTGAGCAAGGCACAAGCGAAGAAGGTTGCTCGATTCCTTCCAAATCCTGAAAGGCACTGGGGACCGAAGCTTAGGGCGGCCGCCAAATCACAGAACAGATGGAGGATGCTACCACAGAATCATAGACCAGGCTGGCATTAATCTTATATTCCTTCCATCTAAATATTATCATGATTGAATGCAGGTTAGAATGATCGTGGCAGCATAATCAATTTTGCAAAATGTGATTTCTATACTTGATTAAATAATCGAACACATGAGTAAGTTATCATTTCAACGCCATTGAAGCTAAAAGAAGCAAAAGATTCTCCAAGATTTGCTAATGAAGCCACA